CCAACTTGACCGGAGTTCACAAGCTTCGGTAGACTGGAAAGAACCAGACTGTCTGAGTCGTCAGCGTATCCTTCGCCCCACATGTAGAGGTCTCCGGTGTCTGAGATAGCTGCGGCATGTTGAGCTCCTGCACTGACCCAACAAATGCGCATATCGGGCGTGGCAAAGCACGGCATCCTCTGGGGAGTCATCCACTTCAGTTGCGGTAATCGAGGGCATGATGAAGACGCCATTGATGACTTTTTGCGCTGTGAGAGAAGCCGCTGATGGCGTTGGAGGATCGTTTCAGCTAATAGAGCATTCTTCTGGCTGCCGTACAGTCCGTGACCGAGCACCGCGCCACCACACGCACCCCACGTCCACACTTGTCCGTCGACTGAAAGCCCCATACTCCAATTCTCACCAGCCGCAACATCACGCCACTGTTTGTGCACGTATTCTTTAAACACTGCTGTGGGGGTAAGAGCGTCACTGACATCGCCTCGACCCTGTTGGCCGCTGTTACCTCTTCCCCAAGTAACAAGAGTACCAGCTCTAGTAAGACCAACACAATGGGCATCTCCACAGGATACCTTCGAGAGCAAAGGATCTTCGTGACGTGCAGAGTTCACTTGACCCGTGTGAATACTCTGAATCTGCCTCGGTGTCAATTGAAATGACTGGAACTGCTTCCTTACAGCTCCACCTCCATGCCGTCGAGATGTCCGAGCGATAATTGGAATCCGTCCGAGTCCAAGACGCCCGTCGCTCCATTTTCCCCATGAGAAGGCGTGTCCTTCACGTGTTAGAGCGACACAAAACCCACTACCGCAAGAGACGGAGCCGACGGTCGACGTGGCTCCATTCACATTGGTCTCCACTGATGGTAAGGTTATTCGTTGAGGTGTTGACGCACTCCTGAGTGTCCCTCTTCCCAAAGCGATCCCCACTCCCCACGTATACAGCTCTCCATCTTGACTGACAGCTGCAGAATGTGCTCCAACTAATTGGTCTCCACCACAAGAGATGTCCTGCACAACGATTAGATTGTCGAAGAAGTAGTCCACCAAAGAAGGCTGAGCTACGTAGCCGCTCAATTCATAGCCGAGCCCCAACGCACCGTCCAACGTGTGTCCGTATGAGAACACCAACCCCATATCGTTGAGAAAAAGCGTGTGAAAGCGACTGCAAGCGGCCTGCACAATGCGATTTCTCGGAAATGGCTGCGCAAACCAACAACGAGGTTAGAACAGTAAAATTTATGGCCCGAACTAGTGGACTTTTTGTACGAAAACCTACCGTTTCAATATCAACCTTCGTGAAGGTGTTCGCTCTGTTCACTGGTTGTGCGCTGTTTTGATTGTCCAAGACAGGGTTTTCGTCGTGTGAGCCCCAACGCAACACAGTGAGCATCTCTGGCAGCTGTGTAGAGTCGAAAGTATGTACACTAGCACTCTGGTCTTCAAAATGCTCTCTCGAACCATTGCTCGACTCTTGAGAACTGCATTTTTCCTTCTCCGAAGCGTGTAGCGCGAGTTCAACTGCTATGGACGTCAGGAACGTGGCGTCTTTATCCAGGTAGCACGTTTTGGGAAGAAATACCAGACAACGTGTACAAGAAGACAGTCCTGCATCGGATGAGTCGCTTGGATTCTGCCGATTCGAGTCGTCAGAGTCAGTTCGCGCTCGAAGATGTGAAGACACGTGTAGCTTGAGTTGCAGCCCCCACTGGTTGTCGCGCTCGGCTTCTTGGACAGTAACCTGCAGAGGTATCAGCGTGAAAAATGTGGTAGAGTAGGGAATAGCCACATTGGCGTCTTACCTCGCACACTCGATTGCTCTGCACCCAGTAGACCGATTCACGTTGATACGGGAACCGGTTGCTGATGGCACCGAGTAGACGTCGCTGTTGCTCTTCTAGCAGTAAAAACGCCAACTGTGCTGCTTTGTCGGCGCGTTCCACCGGTACAATATGGTCACAAGCAACGATTTGCTGCCTTAACCGAGAGATAAAGTAGCTGTACGATACATTAGACTCCAATACCGGAGACGAAATCACGTCAAAACTTTTGTCAGAAGGTGTTGGAAGCAGCAACGGGAACGTGAACGACGTGTCTCGAGTGCAGCTGGCAAATCGAACTGATAAAGCCCCACCCAAACTGTCCGATAACTTTTCAATGTCCACTGCAGAGGACGGAATCTCAATTTTCCCTCCACCAGCAGCTCGAAACGCCTTCATTACAGTCTACAGCAGCTCCATTAGCCCGAACTATTAAATAAAATACAAAATAAAGAGAACGATCCACCTCAAAGTATAATTCTGGCGACACCTCTTTAACTTCTTCACCTGGTGCATCGACGCAGTCTTGGAACTCGGTGTCACTCTCGTCGACAATTTCATCGTGACTTTTGGTCTGCTCTGGGTCTAGAGTATCGGCAGCACACATGCGTTGGAGGATCTCATCCAGATGGTGCGTAGATTTGATCATCTCCTCCAGCATCTCAGCGGCGCGGCTCTCCGCTACTTGCTGGGTCGCCATCTTCCAGGTGATAATGACGGCGTCGTTGTGATCCGGATCGCGCCCTTTGAGACAACGAGACGGCGGTAATACTGAACCTGCTGTACTCAATACCTTTCTGGTCACGGTAAGGTATTTACTAAGATAGGAATCATTTTCATTTTGGCCCAGTAAACCGGTATCCTGATGCGCCTCTACCAGAAATTCTACCGACAGTTACCGGTTTATTATTAAGTCGAGAATGTATTCCAACTGAGAGGCAAGACCTCAATAATTTCAATTACAAAAAAGTTCTCCAATAATTGATTTTTTTTAGTCATTTCGAGGACACAAATGGTCCTTCTTATTCTGGGACGTCCCAAACATCAGCTTTTTTCCTCTCGGTACGGTTAGATACAAAAAGCAAATGGAATGACCGTGCCAAAGGACTATTCGAATATAAAAAAGCACTTTCCTTTTATATTTGATTTTGTATGGTTGTACCATACATTTCGGAATGTGAAAAGAGAGTGAACTATTGCTCTTTTTATGCATCGATCGACAATCACATTGCCGCCGCCATTGCCGTCGTCGAGCAATGGTCAAGAGGAAGAAACTGCCGCCTGGGGAGGTTGCTGGCATCGTAACT